ATACATGACAGTAGTGCATTCATGCAATTTGATATATCATACATAGATGGGATATAATTTCTCATTTTTCTAAATATACATGTTGCAGAATCATATTGGTCAGGTAGTCACATATACACATACAGTAATAATGTCTGTTTCATTCTACTATCTTTCCTATCCCCACATTCCCTCCTCTCCCCTCTCATCACTTCCCTCTACCTAATTTAAGGTAACTCTATTCTTCCCTAGTGCCCCCTATCTTATTGTGAATTAGCATCCACATATTAGAGAAAACATTCGGCCTTTGTTTTTTTGGGGATTGGCTTATTTTTCTTAGCATGATATTCTCCAGCTCCAACCATTTACTGGCAAATTCCATAATTTTATTCTTCTTTAAACCTGAGTATTATTCCATTAGGTTTATATACCACATTTTCTTTATCCATTTATCTATTGAGGGACTCCTAGGTTGGTTTCATAGTCTAGCTATTGTGAATTGAGCTGCTATAAACATTGATGTGACTGCATCGCTATAGTATGCTGATTTTAAGTCCTTTGGGTATGAACCAGGAATGGGATAGCTGGGTCAAATGGTGGTTCCATTCCCAGTTTTCTGAGGAATCTCCATAATGCTTTCCATAGTGGTTGCACTAATTTGCAGTCCCATCAGCAGTGTGTGAGTGTACTTATTTCATCAAATGCTAGCCAGCATTTATTGTTGCCTGTCATTCTTAATGATTGCCATTCTGACAGGAGTGAGATGATATCGTAGAGTAGTTTTGATTTGCATTTCTCTAATTGCTAGAGATGTTGAACACTTTTTCATATATCTGTTGATCAGTTGTATTTCTTCTTCTGTGAAGTGTCTGTTCAGTTCCTTAGCCCATTTATTGATTGGGCTATTGGGTTTTTTGTGTGTGTTAAGTTTTTTGAGTTCTTTATGTATCCTAGAGATTAATGCTTTATTGGAATTGGTTGTAGTAAAGACTTTCTCCCAAACTGTAGGCTCTCTCCTCACTTTTATTAATTGTTTCCTTTGCTGAGAAAAAGCTTTTTAATTTGAATCTATCCCATTTAACTCTTGATTTTACTTCTTGAGCTTTAGGAGTCTTATTAATGAAGTCAAATCCTAGGCCAATGTGGTAAAAATTTGGGCCTCTTTTTTCTTCTGTTAGGCACAGGGTCTCTGTTCTAGTGCCTAAGTCTTTGGTCCACTTTGAGTTGATTTTTGTGCAGGGTGAGAGATAGAGGTTTAATTTCATTATGGTACATATGGATTTCCAGTTTTGCCAGCACCATTTATTGAATAGACTATCTTTTCTCCAGTGCATGTTTTTTGGCACTTTTGTCTAGTATGACATAACCATATTTTATGTGGGGTTGTCTCTGTGTCCTCTATTCTGTTCCATTGGTCTACATGTCTAATTACATGTCTATTTTGGTGCCAATACCATGCCATTTTTATTACTATAGCTCTGTAGTTTAGTTTAAGGTTTGGTATTATGATGCTTCCTGCTTCACCTTTCTTGCTAAGAAGTGCTAAAAGCTATTCTGGGTCTCTTATTTTTCTAAATAAATTTCATGATTGCTTTTTCTAATTCTGTGAAGAATGTCCTTTGGATTTTAATAGGAATTACATTAAATCTGTATTTGGTAGTATGGCCATTTAGACTATATTAATTCTGCCTATCCAGGAGCATAGGAGGTCTTTCCATCTTCTGAGGTTTTCTTCAATTTCTTTCTTTAGTGTTCTGTAGTTTTCACTGTGAATGAAGTAGTTTTCCTAATTTCTCTTTCAGTGGATTCTTCGCTGATGTATAGGAATGAGTTTGATTTTATGGGTGTTGATTTTATATCCTGCTACTTTTCTGAATTTATTTATTAATTCTAGAAATTTTCTGGTGGGATTTTTTGGATCTTATAGAATCATGTTTTCAGCAAATAGTGATAGTTTGAGTTCTTCTTTACCTATTTGTATCCATTTAATTTCTTTCTTCTGTCTAATTGCTCTGGCTAGAGTTTCAAGGATGATGTTGAATAGAATTGGTGAAAGAGTACATCCTTGTTTTCTTCCAGTTTTAAGTGGAAATGCTTTCAATTTTTCTCCATTTAGAATGATGCTAGTCTTGGGTTTAGCATATATAGCTTTTACAATGTTGAGGTATGTTCCTACCATCCCTAGTTTTTCTAGTGTTTTGAACATGTAGGTGTGCTATATTTTCTCAGATGCTTTTTCTGCATCTATTGAGATGATGTTGTTTTGAGATCTTGTTTTAAATCTATTAATATGATGTATTACATTTATTGATTTCCGTATGTTGAATTAACCCTGCATCACTGGGATGAATCCCACTTGATCATGGTGCACTGTCTTTTTAATGTTTTTGTATATGATTTGTCATTGAGAATTTCTGCATCTGTGTTCATCAGGGTTATTGGTCTAAAGTATTCTTTCCTTGATGGGTCTTTGTCTGGTTTTGCTATCAGGGTGATATCAACCTCACAGAATGAGTTTGGAAGGGTTCCCTCCTTTTCTGTTTCATGGAGTACTTTGAAGCATATTGGTGTTAATTCTTCTTCGAAAGTCTTGTAGAATTCAGCTGAGAATCCATCTACTCCTGGGCTTTTCTTGGTTGGTAGGCTTTTGATGGTGTTTTCTATTTCATTACTTGAAATTAATCTACTTAAATCAGAAATATTTGTTTTAATGATGCTATTTTGACAAGTTAACAGTCTCTAAATAAATTATTGTATACTTTTTTTGCACTTAAATTAAGAACCAAAGTACAGACTAAGACCACTAATTTTATAGTCTGATCAAATCTTAGAACCAGAAATCTAAGACACACTGTACACTCTTCTATTCATTTTAAAGGAGGAAGCTGAGGCACAGGGAGAGAATCTCTAATAGCAAAGCAGTTTTGGATGTTCACTCTTCAACAATCAGATTTTGTTTAGGGTGTTCTGAGGACCCAATACATGCCTAATTTTCCAGCCTATATTCAGAGCCAGTTGAGAAAGACAAAGGAGATGTGGCAAGTGAATACCAAAATACTCAATTTTATTATTGTTAATATACTCCAGTAGGAGTCAGGTATTTCAAAACTTCCTAAAACTATACCCTAAAGAGAGAGTCTTCTCGTTCGAGAAAAAATTTTTTAAACTCATGGCTATATTTTCATGAGGTTCATTGTATATTTATTAAGACAGTAATGTTTATAGAAAACAATCATTGTCCAGTAAAATTTTAGGTTTTTTTAATCATGAGAAGGAATGTTTAAAACAATGTCTAAAAATGTTTCTTCCTTGATAAAGCATGTATTTTCTGAAAATCAAAAACGGAGTCTTTAGGCATGAAATACATTTTGTCCAATTATAATTTTAGAAGACTTGTGAAGGCTTTGGGCTGCTTTTGTACCTCTACAATCTTGTTTACTATAGGAAAATATTAAGCTACTTCAAGATTTTTTTGTGTGTGCATCCTTCATTGAGGTGCTTTATACTATTATGTTAGATTTTTATCTCCAGTGGAGAGCTTTATTTTATAACAAACATAAACACATAATCCATTATTACAGATGTTTACATATACAAGAAGTGCCAAGTAGAATAGGTGAAGTATGACAGAACACACAGGAGTGACCAGCCACCTGGGAGAATTAAGGGGATTTTTCAGAGTGGGTCACATTTGAGATCATCTTTAGGAATGAGTAGGTGGTCATCATGAAGGGAAGATGGCATTCAGGGCTGAAAGAACAACTTATACAAAATATGAAATTACATGGCACATATATTTAGTGTCTTTATATTGTTTGGAACTAGGTGTGTTCTCGGTGTTAGAGCACGGACGAAGGATGTACTTGCCTAGCATGTGTGAGACACTGGGTTCAATTCTCAGCACCACATATAAATAAATGAATAAAATAAAACTTCATCAACATCTAAAAACTTTTTTAAAAAGCCCTAGGTTTTATCTCCCAGCACCTCAAAAATAATTTTAAATAAATTTAATTGTTTTAATTCAGAGAAGGCACTTTTTTCCATTTTTGCTATAATTAAATATTCATAACATAAAATTTTCAATTTTATGTGAATATCAGTGGCATTAAGTACATTCACATTGCTGCACAGTCATTGCCACTATTTCGTGAACTTTCTCATCACTCCAAACTGAAATTCTGTACCCATTAAATATTAATCCCCCATTCTCCTTTTTCCTCAGCCCCTATTAACTTCTGTTGTACTTTCTATGAATTTGCCTCTCTAGGTACCTCTTAAAAGTAGGATCATACATGTTTGTCATAAAATAAATGATCATACAAATAATTTTGCAAAATGAAATATTTCACTTATTTCACTTAGCATGTTTTCAAACTTTTTTCATGTCATAGCATGTGACACAATTGCATTTATTTGCATGACTGAGTAATGTTGTCTATGTATACCACATTTTATTTAACCAATTCATTTGTCTGTGGACATACCTTGTTGGCTGGTATGAGTAATGCTGCTGTGAACACTGATGTGGAAGTATCTTCTTGAGATACTGCTTTTAATCATTATAGTTACATAACCTTGTAGAATTGCTAGATCATAAGGTAATTCTGTGTTTGCCTTTTGGAGGAATCACCAGGCAGTTTGAACCATGTCAGCTGCACCATTTTGCATTCCCACCAGCAACACACGTAGGGTGTCAAAGACACCCTACAAACATTGTAGTTTAAATTGTAGTTTAAAGTTTTGAAAAAAAATTTACTAAACCACATAGAAGTTCTGTAAGAACTATGGGAAATACATTCATACAGTCTTTACACTAAAAATGACCTTTAGATGGTCAGCATTAGAAAAAGTTTGCATGAGCCAGCATCAGAGAATATTGACCTTTCTCTTATTGTTTGTGTAGCAGAATTCGTTCATGGAAAAGCCTTTGAAATATTCTCAAGCATAAAACAAATTGAGGTGGATTTGTAATCTGCATGTCTCTGCTCTTAACAAAACAGTTTTCTTTTTTCCTACAGCTCCCTGTACAGGCAGCACTTTCTTTTGCCATAGCAACATGTGCATCAATAATTCTTTAGTCTGTAATGGTGTTCAAAACTGTGCATACCCTTGGGATGAAAATCATTGTAAAGGTGAGTCCAAGGCAAAAGCCAACTGTTTTGAGAAAGAGTGACTGTTGCCTTTCATTAAGGAAGACTTAAAATGTTCTTTTTGTACAACAGTGCTTAGTATAACTACTTGCAGAAATGGAGACTTTTTTTCATGGATAATAGACCTCTGGGATGTGGTAAAAGCAAAGACAAACACTTATTCTCAACAAAAGCAGTTTTTTGTTTAGAGTATGTTTTTATCTTAAGTTGTTCAAAAGTTGTCATATTTCTTGCCCTTGTTTTATTTTCTTATTGTGGTTGAAATCTGTCATTTGTGTTCTAAAGATACCTAAAATTAATTGTGAAAATAATTTAGAGGACAGCCTTTTATTCTTTTTTAAGTTATATGGAAACACTATAATAAAAATCAACTAATAGATTCAGGTTTACAATATAAGAGCAGACCCATTCAAAGAACTGCTTTTAATTTCATCAAATCTGCTTTGCTATATTTCCAATCTATATCCTCTGAAAGATAAATATGGCTTGTGATAACTGTTGAACGCTTGCCAGTTGGTTGTCAAAGCAGTATGTCAGAACTAAGATTTATCTACCTTTCATCCTCCCAAGTGTTCAATAAATATCTATGAAAAGGTGATATAATGTGACATGGCTGTATTAAGTACTTGACATGAAATATTTTCAGGTAATCATTCAAAAACAGTAGACCATGATAACATTTTGGTGGCTAGTTAGATCTTATTTGTTCTCTTTTCCTGGTGGTCATCAGTATAAATCTTGTTGATATGCTTAAACATAGCAGTTGGTCAAACCTACCATATAGCAGAAAGTTAAACTTGATAAAATAAGAATATTTATTTCGGCATTTTCTATATTAATGCATCCAATTTGATTTGCAAGTTGTAAGCTTTTCTATACCTTTCAGCAAAGTAACCAAGTACTTTTTTTGTAACCTGTCTAGTCATATTGTGATTAGTTACTTTACCCAGAGATCATAACCCAGGATTGTTGTTTTTGCCCAGAGATCATAAGGCTAGGATTGTTGTGTTTGTTTAAAAGCTTAATTTTCAGTTGCATTGTCTGTGATATATTTGACCTATATTCTGCTTTTCCTAAAAATCCTTTACCAGTTTGTTCCAGGACTTCTCTTAATGAATTTTGAAAAGCTTAATGTTTCTCTTTCTTTTTCTACAGAAAAGAAAAAAGCTGGACTATTTGAACAGATCACTAAAACTCATGGGACAATTATTGGCATTACATCAGGAATTGTCTTGGTTCTTCTCATTATTTCTATTTTAGTACAAGTGAAACAGCCCCGAAAAAAGGTCATGGCTTGTAAAACTGCTTTTAATAAAACTGGGTTCCAAGAAGTGTTTGATCCTCCTCATTATGAACTATTTTCACTAAGGGACAAAGAGATTTCTGCAGACCTGGCAGACTTGTCAGAAGAATTGGACAACTACCAGAAGATGCGGCGCTCCTCCACTGCCTCCCGGTGCATTCATGACCATCACTGTGGATCGCAAGCATCCAGTGTCAAACAAAGCAGGACCAACCTCAGTTCCATGGAACTTCCTTTCCGAAATGATTTTGCACAACCACAGCCAATGAAAACGTTTAATAGCACCTTCAAAAAAAGTAGTTACACTTTCAAACAGGCACATGAGTGCCCTGAACAGGCCCTAGAAGACAGAGTAATGGAGGAGATTCCTTGTGAAATTTATGTCAGGGGGCGAGAAGATTCTGCACAAGCATCCATATCCATCGACTTTTAATCTTCTACTAAAGGTGATATTAATTATTAAGTATGTATGTATGCAACCTACAGAGCAGCCATTCTGATTTCAGTAACCAACTCTATTTTCCTGTCAAACTAGGAAGACATTCATTTTCCATTTCCCTATCACATTGATGACATTTTTATCATCTCAGGCAGTCTCTATGTTAAGCCAAACAAAGGAACTTAATACATTTGGTAGGAAAAAAAATAATCATCATATGTTGCTTGATGTCATATAAACAAAATCATCACCAGTTACATAGCAGGTGAAGAGGGGCATTGGTGGTGTTGGGCCAGGCTCAGGCTGCCTGTTAGTTTTAGCATCAGAAATACTGCTCTTGACTGATAAAGCTCTGCCAATATTTTGAACCCATAATAAACTTAAAAATAAGGTTTGTCTTTATATTCCTCTTATTTTTCTTTTCTATTATTTGTTTTATATGCCTGTAGTTTTGCCATTACTGTATCCTAATAAGTGGTTAATATACCACTTACCTCAACACAGGCATTTGTTGTTAAACTTGTCAAAATACAGCTAATTTAGTTCTGTTTTTCTACACTAATTTTTACACTACTGCCTTTTAATTACTGGATTGTTAGTCCTTATTTTCTATGAGAAATAGATGATATAATTTTCGCCTTTAAATCATACCTTATCTCTGTTGTATTATACTAGTAAACTTCATGATCCTGAGATATATGCACCTTACCAGTTATGACTAAAAATTTGAGAAAGACAAAAATGTCTAGCAAATCTTTGGAATCGCCTACATTTGGTCACATTCAGTGACAGCCCATTCATTCCAGTAGACAGTCATTTAATTCACTTGTGGGGAGAGCTATAATTGTGTTTATTTACAGTGTTTCTCATCCCCAAAACTACATTTCCTATTATTTTTGTAAGAAGATTACTTCCTTTGTATTGGTTTATCTTTTGACATTTGGTAACCCAAGATTCTGTGAGAGTTAAAGGAAAATTCCTAAGAAACTGTGAAAGCCTTTTGATTGCTTCTTTCTTAGGACAGCACATTTTTCTAACTCTTATCAAGAATACCAATTTCAACTTTTTTTTAAACTGCACTTTTGACCTTATTTTTTTTATGGTATATAAAACAATAATTTATAAACATAACTCATTTGTGTTTTTTTAGACTTTTTTGATATTATTTGATACTGTACAAACTATTAAGTCAAGATGAAAGACCTACATGAAGATTTCTTTCAGTGTTCACATTAGCAGCTTTGTATACAAACATGCTTTGTTGGAACTGTACACCCATAATTTATTATAAAGACCTTGGTAATGTGTACATAGGCTTTCTCTTTCCTTTTGTTGCTGTATTTAGTTTGTGATAAATCTTTCACTGTATGATATTTATTGCTCTAAATCACTACACATCTTATTAAAATATGCATTGTTACATGATCATTCAATCATGTTATTTATGGCACTGATATTTTGGGTCTTAAGATATATGTGGAATGAAGTCCATTTATTGAATTGTAACTAATAGAGAGACATGTCATTTATAAGAGGTAAATTCTCATTTTTTACATTTCTTGTAGTAAATTCTCAATGAAATGAGAAGTTGAGGTTTCACTGGTTTCATTCATTCATTCTTTTACATAGATATGTTCTTTCAGATTAGTGAATGCTGTGACACATTACTGCCTCAGTGTTTCCTGTATCACATTTTTTTATTTTTAAAAAAGTATTTTATATCGAGAAGATAACTTACACATAGTATATTCATGATTTAATTTTTTTAAGTCATCATAATTTCCTCTCTTAAAAATACAACTCAGAAGACTTAATGAGGGGCTGGGGCTCAGCAGTAGTGCACGTGCCTGGCATGTATGGGGCACTGGGTTCGATTCTCAGCACCACATATAAATACATAAAATAAAGGTCTATCAACAATTAAAAAATAAAAAAATTAAAAAAAGATTTTCAATGAACTAATACCAGAGAAATTCGATAACTTGTTTCACAAGCTGAGTAGGCCTTTTGATTTTAGTAGGTAACTTAGACCAGCCAATATTTGAACAATGTAGTAAATAAATTCTTGTTAATATAACAACTGTGATCTTGTTAGGATGATGAAAGAGTTTAGCATATTTTCTACATGAAATTTTATTTATTATACAATAGCTGGTAAATTCATCCTTAACCTCTAGATTAGAGTAGGAAATGCCTAACTATATTATTGATGGTCACTTGTAACTATTTTTTTTTTTTAGTTGTAGATGGACATAATACGATTATATTTTATTTATTTATTTTTATGTGGTGCTGAGGATCGAACCCAGTGCCTCATAGGTGCAAGGCAAGCACTCTGCCACTGAGCCACAATACCAGCCCCTATGTTTTTATTTTTGGAATTTGTATCCTGTTTTGAAAGGACTTAAAGAGATCTACAAAATAGGGAGCCTTTGAAGAAGACATTGAATGTTAAGTTGCAGAGACTGGCTCCAAACTTGCAGTCCTCCTGTCTCAGTCTCCCAAGTCACTGAAATTATAGGTATGCATCATCACACCCCTATGACATTGAGTATTAAAACAGAATAGAAATACATGGTTTCACACAACTTAGCAAGTAAAGCTTGAACAGTAAATCTGATTCTAAATTTTCTGGCTGCTAAAATGAAAAAGGTTTTCTTTTTTTCAGTAGAAAGCACAAACTTGCCACCATGGGCTAGTTTCTGTAGGACTTGAGTATCTTTTAAAAGGAAATTTCCCCAACATTTAAGAAAGATAAAAACTGCAAGAATAGGTTGTAATGATAAATCTTAACCTAGTAAAGGCATAATTTTAATGTGATCTAGTAACATTGTTTTCTGTTTGCAGAGATAGAACTAAAGAACCAAGTGATCAGTAGCTTAAACTGTATTATATGCCTTCATTGAACTATAGGCAAGCCTTGGATCTCATTTCTGAGTCAAACATTTTATCTATTAAGACGAGAGTGGAACTAATATTTTAGGCATCATTATCAGAATAATGCTAATGCTTGCTACTCCCCCCCCCGTGTGTGTGTGTGTGTGTGTGTGTGTGTGTGTGTGTGTGTGTGTGTGTGTGTGATTTTTACTCTTTGAGATCATTGGGAAAACTTTACAAATTATTTACTATAGTGAAAGCCATAGGTTTTAGTAATAAAAGACAAAATTTGGCATCTTATGGAAGTTATTTCAGCCCTTCATAGTACTCCAATGTTAAACACATCTTCTAAAAGAGCACAAAATGGATGGAGGAAATTTCTTCAATTCAGGAACACTACTCAAGTGTACCTATATTGTCATTATCTTGCATCCCAAATTTAACACAAGAAATCAATCCCCACAAGCCCACAAATTGGAAGAAACCTATTCATCCCAACCTCTCAAGTATATAGGAATAAAACAGTGTTTTCTGGGAGGAAAATAATCTAGAGGTTTAACAAAAAGCAAAAGATTTTCACATTTCACATGACAAAGACATGAAAAGTCTCCTTTAACTTTGACTTAACCAATTTCAATGTCGGAATCTTTATCATGCTTCATATAATTATTGGGCATTAAAAGAACTTCTTAAGGCCTGGGGCTGTAGCACCTGCCTTGCAGGTGTGAGGCACTGGGTACATTGCTTAGCACCACATAAAAATAAACAAAAGCATTGTGTCCATCTACAACTACAAAGAATTTTTTAAAAAGAACTTCATAAATGTCTGTCACTTGGGCTGGGGATGTGGCTCAAGCGGTAGTGTGCTCACCTGGCATGCGTGCGGCCCGGGTTCAATCCTCAGCACCACATACAAACAAAGATGTTGTGTCCGCCAAAAACTAAAAAATAAATATTAAAATGCTCTCTCGCTCTCTCGTGCTCTCTCTCTCTCTCTCTCTCTCTCAAAAAAATTCACTATATCTTTAAAAAATAAAAATAAAGAAAATAAATGTCTGCCACTAAATATTTTTATAGTTATTGTCTGATGAGAAAGATGCTTTCTTATTTCAGGAGTCTATCAACTGATGTTACAGAATGGAGAAAGCCTGGTTGTAATTTAGGAATAATTCTCAAGGGGATTATGCTTTCATTGCAAAATAAATATGTCTGCAGTATTGCTCATGTTACTTTATTACAAGTACTAAAAACAATATGCCTTGAATTGTACTGATTAGATCCAGAAGGAATTTGGGGTTTTAGTGTTTTTAAAGATCTAAGAAAGATTATCTGATCCAGATTCGTTAATATAAAACTGAAGCCCAAAGAAGTGGAGTGAGTACCCACATCTCCCAACCCTATCCAGTGCTCTTTTCTTGTGCCTTCTTATCCCTGTTTTTGCTGGCTGGAAGTTTTAAAAGTCTAGCAGTTCTAAACAGCAGCCCAAGTATTCCATGTATAGCTTGTCAATCATTTTGATTTAAAATGTAATTTTTTTAAAACACATTTTCCTTGTTTTTATTTATGTAACAGTGTTGTTCTATGGGTTTGTTACCATGATTCCTTGGCACCTGCAAACTCTGCAAGCAATTACTATGACTTCTCAATGAACAATTGTTAACATGGGCTTGATCAGACAGAGCTTCAGTGTGACTGCTTTTATGATTTTTCAAAATCCAAAGAAAGCAATGTATATTGTGGAAATTAAACATTTTGTGTGCTATATCACTTGAGTTTTGGAGAATGATTTGAATCTGAGCCACTGTAAATGACAAATTGACCTTGGATTTTTTTTTTATAACTTTCCTGCAAAATTAATTATCTGTGTTTTATATGCATGTATTAATAATTTGCTCTCCTTTACTCACTTTTTCATACACTTTATATGTTTCTGCAATTGGTTTAATGATTACAAAAGCCCAAGAAGATAATACTAGGGTGCATGTTTAGTTTATACACTTAATCTCCAACTTAGCACTTTATAGTAAGGAATTTTAACCCTTGAACTAAAATAAAAACTTGTGTTTTGATTTCCTTGTTTGCTTTTGTTTCTAAAGTCTCTAGAAGTGGCAGAGAATGTAGGCCACTTCAGGCAGTAGAATTTGTACTTCTAGGGCAAAGTTAGCATTTCCTATCTAATAGCTTCCCAAGTTAAATAATCATAGTTGTGACGTTTTTAAAAAGCAACCTTGGTCTATCACTTAGAAACCATTTTATGCTTTCAAATTAATCTTCAAAAGAAGATGAACTTTAAAATTTTCAGCTGCTGCTAGGACCCACTCTGCTACATCTAGTCACTGAGGTGGCAATGAGAACTTGCAGAGTGAGTATTAAGAACCAAGCTGTCCTCTTGAGGTGAGCAATGCCTTGGTCACAGCCATCACTTTGTAAAGATGAATGAGTAGGCCTCAAGACCTTACATAGAGAGGAAAGCAAAGGAAGGTTCAAACTCCTGACTTTTACAATCATCAGGTCCAGATCAAGGAGCAAAGAAAGAAGAAAGAAAAAACAGTGCCACTGTCTTTACAAGTAGTTAAAGAGCAGTTTTACTTTGTGCATTATTTACGATCAAGAAATTGGTTGTATTTAAAAGAGCTCTCATCTTTAAAGCTTTGTCATACTCTAAAACATCTGATGCCTTTGGACATCTGAGCCAATAAATAAATATTTTATTGAAAAGTTTGGAGTAGCTGCTGATTGCTAGATGAAATTTTCATCAGAAATCTAGGTATTGAACCAAGATGGGATTTTTTTGTTTGATTTTGGTTTTGGTTTGGTACTGGGAATTGAACCCAGGGGTACTTAACCACTTAGCTACATCCCCAGCACTTGTTATTGGTTTTCAGACAGGGTCTTGCTAAGTTGCTGAGACTAAATTTGACCTGTGATCTTCCTGCGTGAGCTTCCCAAGTCGCTGGGATTACAGAGATGCACTACCATACCTGGGATAAGCCATTGTTTTTAAATTGTTTTATTCTTCCAACAATAACATTGTCCTGTTGAATTCAGAAGTTCCTACAAACCCTTCCAAACTCTATAAAGGTAGTATCACCCTGATACCTAAGCCAGACAAAGACACATCGAGGAAAGAAAACTTCAGATCAATATCACTGATGATCAGAGATGCAAAAATTCTGGCAAACTGAATAAAAAAAATTAAAAGGATAGTGTGTCATGATCAAGTAGGGTTCATCCCAGGGATGCAAGGTTGGTTCAACATTTGGAAATCAATAATGTAATTCATCATGTCAATATATTAAAGATAAAAATTATATGATCATGTCAATAGATGCAGAAAAACATTTGACAAATACAACATCCTTTCTTGTTCAGAACACTAGAAAAACTAGGGATAGTAGGAATATACCTCAAACATTATAAAAGCTGTCTATGCTAAGCCCAAGGCCAATATCATTCTAAATGGAGAAAAATTGAAAGCATTCCCTCTAAGAACTGGAATAAGACAGGGATGCCCTCTCTCACCATTTTGATTCAACATAGTCCTTGAAACTCTAGCCAGAGCAATTAGAGGAAAGAAATTAAAGGGATATGAATAAGAAAAGAAGAACTCAAACTATCACTACTTGCCAACGACATGATTCTACGAGGATCCAAAAAACTCTACCAGAAAGCTTCTAGAACTAGTAAATGAATTCAGCAAAGTAGCAGGA